CCATAGTGGTGAGTCGAGCCTCAACTGAGGCTGAAGATGGAGGTCGAGCTCCTGAAGTTGATGAAGAAGGGCCAAAATGGGCCTGGCGATGCTGGGGTGGAGCTCTATGAGCAGCCTCGGCCGACTCTGCCCCTGGTGCTGCTGGTCTCATCAGAGCAACATGTCACAATCTGACAATGAAATGACCTCCCCTTTGGGACTGGATGAGTCCCATATGTGAGAGGGTATCCTTTAGAAAAATCTTGGACTTCCCGACCTAGTGCAGATGGTGGTGTCTACTCGTAAGAAGCGAGCCAACCTCGTGATGATGGGCCCCATATGTATGAAGTAGACCCTCTTGCACCTCAATATGCGAGAGAAAGAGGTCGCCACCACTGACCTAATATGAAGGATCTCTCATGGCCTGCCCAGTGTGTGGAGGGCGACAATCCCTCTCAGAGTTACTTGACCTGGAGTATGAGCACTCGGTAGAATAGAGTGGGGCATGAGTATGAACCGTGCTTATCCCGACCAAAAGATTAGATTAAGGCAAAAGTTTCGGGCCAAGAAGGCTACCCTATGGAGCTTAAGTGGGGAGGTGACAAACCTCGCCCCGAGACCGTAGCGGATCCACTCTCAGTAGCTTCGTGCTCTCAAGCATGATAGATCCAGAACGTCGAGCTAGTAACTTTAAACTAGCGTTTGTTGGGAGGTTGCCAAACGACAGTTTATTTTCTTTTTCTTATTTTCACTTTTTGTGTTTGTGTGAAGAGTTCAAGCATTGGAATGGGTATCACTGTGCCAGGTCTGTGTGTTTGAGTGTCTTCGGTTGTGTTGTGATTGAAATAGGGGCACGGTTGAGTAGATCGAGTCAAATTTTTCAGAAATGCTCTGTTTTCACTCAATTCACGATTTCTGCTTTCAGTTCACGATCTTAGCGATCGTGATAAAAGGATAGAGATCGTGAACGAGGGCGAATCCAACAGTCTTTGAAACTCACCGTTTTACCCGAGTTCACGGTCTTAGCGATCGTGAACTGGGCCCTCCGTCTATAAACTGCGGGATCGACCTATAAATGGGGCGTGAACCCCTCTTCTTCACTTCACGTCGCCTCTCTCGCCGGAATCCGCTGAACATCGCCGGTAACCGCGATTTCCAACGGTTCATTGTCGATTTTGGCGACTTCCGGCCACCAAATCCAAAACCAACCACAAACCCAGTCTTCTCGAGTTCGAGAGCTCCTTCACCGAAGTTTTGGGGAGGTTTGACTCAAATTTTTCCGGTGAGGCAATTTCCGACGAGCCTCTTACGAGCTATCGACGAGGCTCCGGCGACCCCCCTCCGGCCAGTTTTTCGTGGATTTTTTGACTCACTCGCCCTCTCCTTACTTCCCCCTTAAATCCTACTTGAGTCTCCAGTTTGTTTTCAACTTTTAGATTGTCAATTCTTGGAGAATCGGATTAGGGTGAAGGTGAGGGGAATTCTCGAATTGATTAAATGAATGTTGAAAGTGGGGGAGGGGTTAGTCGATTTATGTTGAATGAATGTTGCATGTGGATTCTATGAGCTTAATTGAGCCTTGGTGGGCATGATTTGGGTATAGTTTGTAGTTAAGTGTGGAATTTTCCCACCAAGTGCATCATGTTTGAATTCATTTTTTGTGAATGGTGATTGGAGGCCATTGGGGCATGGTATGGTTTTGATATTGTGTTTTGATAATCCGTGAATAACCTAGAACCATGCCTCGATGAGCTTTGTTTGCACTTGGGCTTAAATTGTTGAAATCCGGTCTTGTGAAAAGCCTTCAAAGGCATAGAACCTTAGTGGAATCCTAAGTGTGGGGAAATTTTTTTCTCCCCTTTGAAGTGAGATTGACAGATATTTCCACGTATGGTGTATGTTTTCGATGTTTTGCAGGATGGTGTATATGGATCACACATATGTTCACTGCCTGGTGAACCATAAGAAGTAAGGTACCAAATTCTAGCAGTGGAGGTACAGCGAGGCGGGGCCTCATTGGGTTGCGTATGTTGGTGAGTTGCTTAGTGTCATACTTCCTCTTTTTTTTATAAAAAGAGTTCCATCAGTGCAGTTGATTCGGGCTCAAATGTACACATTTTACCCCTCAATTCTTATTCGTTTAGCTTAGCATTTTATCGTTCCTCGACATATTTCACGCTAGGTTGTACTTGTTTTGATAAATTTCAGGTCCTAGCATGTGTGGAAGGGTCGAGGTCGAATTTTGGAATAATTGGAGGTCAAAAAGCGCAAAAACCGAAGAAAAGTCTGAAGTGTCCAGGAAACAGCCGCAGTTCACAGTCGGACTAGGCAGTTCACGGTCTCCTTATACCGTGAACATGGACCACAAAACATGAACATCGAGCAGTCCAGCGAGGTTCCATAAGTTACTGACGACAAGGCAGTTCACGGTCTCTAAGATCGTGAACTAGGGCCATTGACCGTGAAACCAGCAGAGTGAAGCGGCGCATTTTGGACGACACTGAGTTCACGGACGGGTTTAGGTGTTCACGGCCGTGAACTGGCCAACGCGTCCGTGCACTGATCACTCTCGGGCAAATATGAAGACAACAGCGGGGAGAGTGAGAGGGGAGCTGGTTTTTGGAGAAGAATTGGTTTCTCTCTCTAGGGTTGCCCAAAAACACCAAAGGGGAGTTCTAGTGAGAGAGAGAGAGAGAGAGAGAGTACTAGAGAGATCTTGGAACATCATTGGAGGCTTGGGTGGAGATTCAAACCTAGAAGAAGAAGAAGATCTTGAGCTCAAATTTGTAATCTCTCTCTCTCTCTCTAGAAACTCACTCTTTTCTCTTGGGTGTTGTAGATCTCTAACTAATACTTTGTAATTACTTGTTTAGATTGAATGATTGTCATTGGGTATTGTTTAATTCAATGATTGAGATATTATTCATGTTGATTGTGCATGCTTGTGCTTAGCAATCTAAGGTTGTGCATGTTTTGTGCTTAGCATCTTTAGGTTTTTTCATTTTGGTGCTTAGCAACCTAAGGATTGTACATAATTGTGCTTAGCATCCTTAGGTTTGTGCATGTTGGTGCTTTGCAATCTAATTAGCCACTTTAACCTAGTTAGAGAGGAAAATCCCCCTTTCAAGGAGACTCAATCGAGTTGGTTTTTCCTTTAGCTTTTTAAGTCACCTAACTAGGTTAATTTAGCGCAAACCTCAATGTTGAATTAAGCAAATTGGTTAAGCGTGATAAAACCGTCCAACCCTTGAGTTGAGTGAGGGAGTAAGTCACCACGGATTGCCTAAACCGAGAGAGCCGAGTGACACGACCTATAATGTCTACCTCGGTTTAGCAATCGAGATTGTGGTCTACGATCATATTTGCATCACTCTGTGGTTCGCGGTTACGTTGCCCATAGCAATCGTTTCTATCCAGCGAGTCACAGTAGCTAGTTAGGGGGAAACAACTCCTGGATGAAGCTCCCTTAGTTAGAATTTTCCTTTATTTACTTTTCTTTGCTTGTTTAATATGTAGTTCCATTAGTTATAAACCCAAAATTTGCTTGCTAGATAACAACCTAAACGATTGAAGTAGGGGTACATGAACCGGTCCGAGTTGACAATTTAAATACTTGCTCTATACTGTACTCGGCTAGAGTTTAAAACTTGGGCTCTAGTCAGGATTAATTTGTAGTGTAGTTCGTGCGAGTCAGCAGTCTAGGAACTTGCTGCTGTTTGATATGTTCTTCACCAGATTGATGAAAAGTCGATTGTAGCAGGGAGAAGGAAAATTGATGAGACCTTTCTGAAGAAGCTTCCGCTACCAGCACACAAAGAAAAGAAGGTTCAATAGGTAAATGCTTACGGAGCATCAATCTTTCCCCCTATCCTACGCTTGCATTCCATGGTTAGCTTATTCATATATGAATCCGCACTAATAAATTGTCATGGTAGTTGATCCCAATATTGAGCGTTGCCTCAATCCCTTGTGGAGTGACTTATGTATGTCCGGTGGTGGGAGAGGAATCGATTGCGCCCAATTATATTGTCGGACACATCTATTCGGGAGGTGTCACTCGACAATGTTGTGGCAAATCACATGCAACTTGCACGACCAGAGTCGACGATCCTCAGGGTATCGCAACTCGTACAAATCCTTTGCTCCGTTCGAATACGGATCCCACTACACCTAAGTTTCAACACAACATATAAATTAAAATTGAAGCAAATAATTTCAACAAATAAAATAGGATTCATAATCATAAAAATAAATCATGGGCTAAGACAAATAATTTCAGCAAATAAAATAGAATTCGTAATCATAAAAATAAATCATGGGCTAAGACAAATAATTTCAACAAATAAAATAGAATTCGTAATCATAAAAATAAATCATGGGCTAAGACAAATAATTTCAACAAATAAAATAGAATTCGTAATCATAAAAATAAATCATGGGCTAAGACAAATAATTTCAACAAATAAAATAGAATTCGTAATCATAAAAATAAATCATAGGCTAAGACAAATAATTTCAACAAATAAATTAGCATTCATAATCATAAAAATAAATCATGAGCTAAGACAAATAATTTCAACAAATTAGCATTCATAATCATAATCTAGAATGTTACCTCATTGAATTCTATACGATCAAGATGTTGGCGGTACCCGTCTAGAGAGGTGAGTCTCGTGATAGCTCCAATCCATCTAGCACCATAAGCCCATTGTCGTAGTGGCTCTTCGGGACCCCAACTGTTGGCAAGGCAGATCGGAGCGAAAGTAGGAAGGTGCTCCCAAACCCATAGTTGGAGGATGAACATGGGACCACCAGCTTGCTTTGTCTTCGGGTCCGTACACTTGCACAACTCCGAATATATCATCGCCAAACAAGCAGATCCCCAACTTTTTTTTCGCAATCTCGTCCCAATCTTCCAAAAGAACTCGAAGCCACATACAATGCATATTTCCACCAGACTTGTTCGGAAACAAAAATCCTCCAACCAAACAAATCAGGTAGATGCGAGCATACCTCTCTATCTAAGCATCCGTGGCATCCTCCGGTAATTCTCGAGCCATCCTCACTAGCCAAGGTATCAATAGCATAGACTGGTGTAGAGGTGGTACACGACGACCTTCTGGTGCTTCCTTGGGAATGTTGATGCCTAAACGCTCGCTTATAAATTGGCCCCAACCATTAAATGGTTTATGTGAACTTTCTATTATTGCATCACCATCGATTGGAAGCTCTGTCAGCATGGCCACGTCCTTCAACGTAATCATCATCTCTCCCTCCAGAAGGTGGAATGTGTGCGTTTCTTTTCTCCATCTTTCCACCATTGCCGTAAGAAGGTTTTTGTCCATCTCCATCCCCACAAACTTTTGCACCCTCAGCAATCGCGCTCTTTCAATGAAAGACTAGATACGATCATCCCATTTAGGTAAGCGAGATATCGATCGATGGGTGATTACGTCAAGTTGTTCCTGTAGAAAAAAATTTAATTGTTATAAAAATTAGAAGAATACTATCGCATTTAAAAAAAGAAAAGTACATGAGGAAGTGCTTACCAGATCTGCCGCCCAAACACTTTCAGACAGATGGTAAGGTTGCTCATCCAACAAATCGGTTTCTCGCGGTCCACCTTGAATGTATAATCTAGGATCATAAACACTCGGGTCCATCTCCGCAATTTTGAGTGATAGAAGTACCAAACTAAAGAAAAAAAATTGATGCGGAAGTTTGGGCTTAGCCGCAACCACAGAGCATATTTTTTTCTTCAAGAGTGGTGGGAGGAAGAGAGGAAGAAGAATGGAATGGTGTGAGTTTTGGTGGAATGGAAGGGGGTATTTATAGGTGCAGTGGGAGGAGGTGGATCGAGTTTAGGGGACTCGAACAACTGCATCGAGTTTGTAGTCTTCGATCTGCGTCAAAAGCAGCTCGAGTGATGGCAGATCGAATGACCAAGATCAAGTTTGGAGTACTCGATCTACGGTAGAGCTTGTCTGACATCATCGATCTGCGTCAAGCAGATCGATTCCCAAGCACTCGATCCACTTGCATCGAGTTCCGCCCACTCGATCCGCGTCACCACTTCATTGCAGATATGGCCATCGGACGGTGGAGATCGATCCCCTGTATCTCGATCTAGGGTGGAGCGCTGCCTATGTCATCGATCCATGTCACCTAGTTCGAGTCTCTGTACTCGATCTATGTAAATCGAGTTTAATAAACTCGATCCGCGTCGTCCTGTGCCAGCCAATCATGGCTGTTTCGCTCGATGCACGTGGATCGATCCCTTGGCAATCGATCTAGTACTAGTTCGAGTTTATTAAACTCGAACCGGTTCAAATTTTGGTAGTTAGGGAAATATTTATAAAAGTGATGTATTATAGGAATTACTTTTAATTTTTACTGTATTTAGGAAAATAATCCTAACTTAGGTAGTAACTTAGGATAACCCACAAGAAAATTTTATATAAACTAATTAGTATTAATGTTACAATTATCAAGTAATACAGAGATTACTTTAGAATCTATAATAAAGTATTGAGAATGCCCCAAATCTTATGAAAATACAAATGAATTGATTATTATGAAGTAATGACAAATAAGATGAATTCATCCGACCAATTGGTCGGGTAAAAACTAGTAGGCTACTATGAATCCTACATATTTCTCTCTTCTGAGGCACCTGTGCAGTTCGATTGATTGATTTTAGATTATGAGGGACAGTAGTTTCTGGTATGCTCCTACACAAAGTAAGATTCGAATCTATCTATCTATATATATATATGATAGCTTCGGTTAGGCATGCAATCATATTGACATCCAAAACCTCAAATGAATGTCACGTAATTAAAACAGTCGACCATCCTTAGGGTTCTACATAATATAAACAATCTGAGAGTTTACCTATCCATGAATGCAAGAGAAGTTTCAAATACAATGAGAGATGTCACTATGTCATCTATAACCCTTTACAATACACACGGTGGCGAACAATATATGACTTATTTGTCCGTTTCAAATGTGTTTGCTAGCAATTAAAAGTCGTGATAGTTGAAAAGTCGTTAAAATATGGTTTATCATATTGAAAATTCTGTATTTGTGCGGGGACCACCATCGTCCCCTCAGCTGGCTGAGTTTTTAATTCAAAGCATTTCACTAAGATCTTATAGTCTCTGCTTCCATTAATCTTCATCCACCCTCCCATCCCGTCCCAAAGCAATTAAAACAAAACACACGATGGGTTACCACTTCTCCAAAATCAATCAGAAAAGCCTGGTCTCTGTGGCAATCTTCTCCACCCTCGCCGTGGGAATCCTTTACCTCCGCGTTTGGCCTTCTTCTCCCTCCTCCGATCGCGATTCTTTGCTCCTCTCCACTATCAACAACGTCACCGTTAGGGACGAGCTGGACGTGGCGCTGGAAAGAGCTTCTTCCACGGTCAACGACAAGACGGTGGTGATCGTGGTGATCAACAGGGCCTACGTGGAGCCGGCGCGTGGAACGAGGGATGCGACGACGATGCTGGATAATTTCCTGGAAGGGTTTTGGGTGGGCCAAGGGACGAGGGAGCTGGTCGGGATGCTGCTTGTGGTCGCCGTCGATCAACCAGCTTACGACCGGTGTGTGTTCATGCGCCTCAACTGCTACAAGATGGAGGCGGCGGGAGAGGCTGACGATCACGCCGCCGGCGGCGAGAAGCTCTACATGTCCGCTGGTTTCATCGACATGATGTGGCGCCGGACGTTTCTTCTCCTCGAGGTCCTCAAACGCGGCTACAGCTTCATATTTACGGTACGTACGTACCAGCCCTAGCTAACTTACTACACTGCGTGTGTGTAACATTAATTAATTAATTAATTAATTAACTGTAGCATTAATTACTTAGTGATCAGGGCGAATGCATCGAAAACTATTTAACAGCAAATCATAATTACTCAAAACGCTCAAGAAACAAATTATACCTTCATCGATCGCCAGCTGCGTGCATGTTTTCAAGGAAACTTATCAGTTAGTTTTAATGAAGTGCGTGACTTTGCTTGTTGCTAGCACTTGTGTTGTGGAGGAAAATGGGTGGCAGTGTCGGCACGCTCCGCTAGTGGAGGATAGTTGGCTTAATTGGGTGAGACTAGAAACAGTCCGTAGCGTAGAAGAAACCGTTTTTTGACTTTGTATGCCTCCAATGCCCACATCGGAGTGGGTGTTGCCAATCGCAGCGGCAGCAGCTGGCTAGGCATGAATATTGATTAATTAATATACATCTAATTATCTGAAAATGTTTTTTTTTTTAATAATCAATACCTAATATTAGTTATAGTTTACTTCTAAAAAAATACATAAGATGAGTTGAATGACAAGTTGGTCGGCGAATTAGGAGCCTACCTAGCTTAGATCGGGGCATAGGGCTGTTAGCAAGCATTCGGGAATTGTATTAAGGGTGCACCATCAATGTATAACTTGATACATAATCATTTATACAAGGTTGATCTCTAACCTTTTTTCTTATAAATTTTAATGTGATATATCTAATTTTTTATACGTCGTGATGTTTTCCACAGATAAATTATATTAATTATGCTATTAAAAAAAATATTCAACTTAATATATTTTGTAACAAAAAAAAAAATCAAGACATTTATTACTAGTCTATGACATGATGGTAATGTTTGGTATTGAATAAGATCATACCATGTGGTATGACAATGTACCATGGTGGTATGAACTGTCATTTACTACATTCATCATTGCTTACCATCAGTAACCACCCCTCTATCAGGGGTGGTATATATGGACTGGTAGATTTAGGTCCAGTATTTTTTTTTCAAAAAATTGTAGATAGAATAAATTACAATAATTCGTTCCATCTATGCAACAATATTCCAAATTTCAAATTCGAGTAAAATGGTGGTAACGAGTGGCATGAATTTTTTTTGCCAAAATATATTGAAAATTGATCTCATTTCGTAGATCACAACGAACTCGCTTCTTTTGTGGAAAAAAAAATTAATTTCAAGTTAAAATGAAAAAGATAAGAATTGAATAAAAAAATAAAAAATAAATAGAAAGTCATTAATTCTTACTCCGTCATTTGGACTCCACTTAAAAGTAAAGATCCAAATTTAATTATGAATAGTTATGCACTCATCTTAAACCAGCAATTAGCAAACAATATTCGGGAACCGGAAAAGAAATGCTTTGCTACTGTTATTACTTATTATATTAAGAACTTGCTGTAAGCGGGTATGTTGCATGATGGATATTAGAATAACTAGACCGTCAATTTCGGCAGGAGTCCCTAGCTATTAATTAAGTATTAAATAAAACGCGTGGGTGCTCATAAGTCATAACAAAAAGGAGGCAATATTTACTGGTATTGATTTCACGGGAACAAGAAAATACAAGGGTTGGTAGGGGTTGCTTTCGTGTTGGCGGTTTCATGAAAATTGTGCTGATCGGCCACTAGCTACCCAGGAGAGATGAACTCTCCAAGCTGTAGCTTTATTAACTGCTAAATAATATGTTTTCTTTAGTCATCATTTTTGTTAATTAATGTTGTTCAGTGCATACTCGATAAAAAATTCGTTAACATAAAATTCATATGTTTACATGAATAAAAAAGGGAAGAAAACTATATGCCTTTTCTATTATTCACTTGATATGAAAATAACTGTACCGTTTATTAATTATGTTCTCTCTAAGTATTGTATTGATACTTTTACTGATTTACTATGATGAGACGCGCGAACTCGGCTCTTGCAGGACGCTGACGTGGTGTGGCTAAGGAACCCATTCCCAATCCTTATAGGCAAAAACAAGAGCGAGACGACAGAAGATTTCCAAATCAGCACCGACGTGTATAACGGGGACCCACACTCCCCCGAACACCTCATCAACACAGGATTCTACTACGTCAGATCCAACAACCAAACCATAAGAATGTTCGAGTCGTGGTACGGTCGGCGGGACAACTCGTCGAAAAAGGAGCAGGACGTGCTGCTAGAGATGTCGAGGGGCGGCGTGCTGACGTCGGAGCTAGGTGTGAGGACGAGGTATCTGGACACCGCCTGGTTCAGCGGCTTCTGCTCCGACATCAAGGATGTCGGGCAGGTGGTCACAGTCCACGCCAACTGCTGTCGAAGCATTATTGCCAAGGTCAAGGATTTGAAGGTGGTCATCGGGGATTGGAAGCGGTGGAAGATGCTGGCTGCTCACTGGAAGGCCACCGGGAGGCGGAGAGCTATTCCTTTCCGATGGACGGGGCATTTTGGGTGTTGGAACTCTTGGAATAATCATAACGTCACCACCCAATAATGATTACTCAAACGCTCAACAGTTTTATTTTTTCTTCTTTCCTTTTTTTTTTTTTTTTTGGTTCATTGAGTGGTATTTTGCTGACAAACTGTTACGTTTCCCTACAATTATAAAAGCATTTAGCTGCTCATGTGGAAAAGCAAACTCATACCATGCAATCCATGCTTTCAAGTATATAAAATCAATTTTCCTTCTAATTTTATCAAATATTAACACAAATGTATGTCTCTTCGCGCACGTGACTTATTGATAACACGTAAATTATACATGTTTTTAGATCCTTTTAAACTCTTTTGCTTTGTAATCTTATCAATATTTCTATGTTTTGGCCACTTTTATGCTTTGTTTGGTGTTTTATTGTGTTTCAGATCATGACGAGTGATTTTGACAATATTTGGACGAGAAATACACAAAGTACGAAAGCTTTGGAGCATTTAGAATGCATTTGGAGGGTTTTCCCGAGGTCCTCAAGACTAGCCCCACGGCCATGAGCCAACCCGCGAAAATTAGCAAATTCCAATTCTCTCAATTGAAAATGAGATTTAATTTGTCGAGGGATTCACGGCCACAGTCACGCCCGTGAGCCGGGCCGTGAGCACTTGATGGTTGTGACCTGCACAGTGAATGTCGTAGACTCCCCTCCAAAGCAAGACTTTGTGCAACTTAAAGTGTTGGGCAAGGACTTCTCTCACGCTAGTCCCACGATCGTGACTATACCCGTGGATGATTCTCTCTCTCTCTCTCTCTCTCTCTCTCTCTCTCTCTCTCTCTTAACTATTTAAGAACCATTAAGCCTAGTTGACGAGGGAGTTGGGCCATACAAACCCTAATACGATCATAGACGAGTTAGAGAGAAGAAGAGGAGGTTTTCCATAAGTTCTAAAAGGAGTCACCTTGGAGCATCTTATCAATCCCCTCATGATGGAAATCGGTTCTTCTACTTCTCCTTTGTTCGTTTTTCCATTACCCATGAACTAATCCTCTATTGTTATTTGGATCAGATGAACCCTAGCTATATGACACTGATTTTATTAATATTGCATGGATTTCGATGTTTATGTGATATTTGATTTGTCTATGAATGATATTTCAAGTATGATTTTATTTGATTTGTCTATGAATGATATTTCAAGTATGAGGAGAAGATCCCCATAGATGTGATAGAATTCCCATAGATAAAAATGACCTTGAAATACTAGAAGATGGAGGGAGAGGGACTTTTGGATTAGGGTTGAACCTAATAGGGGGATTCATAGAGTTATAATCGTGAGGGAATTGGGTCTAGGTCAAAGAGAATATCGGATCTAGGTTGATAAACTAATTGGGTATTAATACACGAGAAGATCGGGTTAATACCAATTCTAGAATTCTTACGGTCAATGAGTATACATCGAGTCTATGAATATTCAATTAAAAATTATGAATTAATTAGGGGGATTCTAAGTTTGAACAACGCCTTCTCTTTCTTAATTTGCCTCCGTATTTGCGATTTGTCTTTGCTTAATCTCACTGCTTTGTTAGTTGGTTTAGTTAATCAAGAGAATTGGAAAGAGAATGGTTAAATAATAAGAAACATAGCTAAGTAATAGTAGTTCATAGTCTTTGTGGACTAGGACCTTGTTTACCACTATATTACGTCTATGACAGGTACACTTGCCTTAATAGTCGCACTTGGAAAACTGTGATCAAGCGTTTTGCGCTGTTGTCGGGGATGTGATATTAGGAATAGTTTGATGTTATTACTTTAACCATTTGTTTTGTTTCTCTTTGTGCTTTCTTCATACTTCATGGATTGTGCTTGTCTTAGCTTATGAGTCTAAGTTAGTTTATGCGAAGAGGTCATCCTTCGAAATTATCCTTTGATTCGGAGATAGAGAGGACCTTGCGTAGATGCTTAGTGAGCAGCAACAGGATGCAACCATGGTTGGAGGAGCCAAAGAGGGCAATGATAAGATGATGTTGTACTACTCTCATCCAACATTGGATGACATCACTTCGAGCATCCAGTTCCCCAATATTGTTGTCAATAATTTTGAAATCCCCTCTTGGCAACTGAATATGATTCATCATAATCATATGTTCAGTGGGACATAAGAACAGATTCATGCTCACATCAAGAAGTTCATGATATTAACCGCTAACATCAAGATAAACAACTGTCCAACATCTCTTTGAATATGAGGTTGTCCTTTCAATTTGGAATGACTTGTCCTTGAGTGGCTAGAATCTCAACCACCAGCCTCGATTACCACATTGAAAGAGCTAGGTGAAAATTTTATTGCTCACTTCTTTCCTCCCTCTAAGATTGGAGGCGTACAAGGAGAAGTCCTTGCCTTTAAGAAATTATATGGAGAGACTCTCTAAGAAGACGCCCTCGTCATTGTATAGATACTTGGCTCCAAATTAATGTCTTTTATAATGGCATGTTTCATGCGTTAAAAAAAACTTTGGACTATGCCAGAGGCAGCCAAATCCTTGGTAAGACTCCTCCTCAGGTGTAGGAATACATTAGTAACATGGCCGAGAACAACTATTGGTGTCATAACACTTGATCCAAACCCCAGAAAGCATCTCATCTTCACCATATTGATCATATCCAATCATTGGCTGCACATAGTGATGGCAATGGGGCAGGACGGGTACCTCAATACCCATGTCCCGCCCCACGCTACTGAGGGTCAGGGTGCGTAAAACCCAGGCGGATAAGGGGTGCGTAAAACCCAAGCAGATAAGGGGCACGATTAGGTATAGTATGACAAAAGGTGTTGTCACAAAGGTTTGTCATTTTATCGCCGTCAAGATATATCAAATATGACAAAAATTTAAAACAAGGTTGTCACATTAGTTTTCAGTATAGTTGAGGTTTTGGGTAGTCTATTATGACAAACGGAGATGTTATGACAACATATTTTGTCATTACACTTGTCATAATCTGATGATTTTGGGAGAACTGTTCGTCATATTACACGATTATATTTTGTCATAACTGTATATTGTGACGACTACATTTTGTCACAAATCTTTATTGTGATAACATTTTTTTTTCATAACTAAATATTATGATGAATATATTTTGTCATAACTGCATATTATGACGAGTATAGGTTGTCAGGAAAGGTGTCACATTTGACCTGCTCCATAAATTTTATAAATCGAAATTGTTTCCACTATTGCAACCCAATAATGGAAAGATTACTAAAGATCCAACACATTAGAACCATTTCTATAGCAATCTAACTCCTTGTTCAACATGACCAAACATTCTAAGTTGTCCACCATGACACAAAACATTATGACTCCTTTGCGTATCTTGGGTTCTCCTTCGGTCCATACTTCACCTTTTTCTTCAGGACCTTCTGAACAATCTCACAGCCTAATACATGCTTCCCCTCTGCCTTTGCTACTATCCAAATGGATAACACCGCTGGGCTTTACAGTGAAGATCCTCAGCAATGAAGCTCCTGGTTTTCAGACTTTGGAAAACGCTATCCTGTGCCAGGAAAATTCAGGTCAAAATGTAAACAATGTTCTCAGTTTCAAGTTCTGAAATTTCTTTTCCAATGCCAGGAAAATTCGATCATGGTAAGACAAATGGAAAGCTAAAATGTATATATCACATAAGCCAAGAAATTGGAGGGAGAATAGCAACAGATACTTTAAATTGAAGAATAACATACAAAACATAATGTACAATAAGAAAGTGACTAATACTACCACACGAAGATCTCTAAGCTGCAAAAAGATTAATTCACTCATGGTTTCACACTATATTGCAAGGACTTAATAACTTCCCTCACCAACAAAGCACTGAAGGAGACATCACAAAACAAATGAAAAACATAAAGTACTGACAAGTAAAACCGAACGGAAAACATCCCTCGCCGGAATTCTCCATGATCATGACTAGTAAGCATCTTTCGATGCCTTCATCGTTGAATTTTCCAAATAGACAAACTTTGGCTTAATTAATAATAACAAAATTATGTGCAAAACAATGAGTTCATCCACGCATGCTTGGAATGAAATGAAACCTCGGTCAAGGTCAATGTGTCTAGTAAACAGGAGAAGATTCCACTTGGAATTGTTGCAAACCAAAACCTATCAAGGCATCGCTTACTTGGAAAACTGTGACTTGTTTAAGACCATAAAAAAATTCATATTTACACAATGTTGGTGCCTGAAACTTCAAGCTCCGGTGGCAGTTCCATACACATATTACCATCTTCTAAATCACCATCAGAAAATGGGGGAGGGGCCGCAATCAGCCATGGCGTGGCTGTCACAAGCAATTCGTAAATTCAAACTACAATTTCACACTCAATAATCCATTCAAACTCAGAGCACAAATCTACAAATATGAAAGATCTTGTTATTAAGGAAAACTTGACCAAAATCATCCTACAAATCGATCAAATTCAGCATCACAAGCAAGCATCGATTGGGTCGCTGAGGGAGAATAATTACCTGGAATGGATCGTTAGTAGGAGGAGGAAGAAGCGTCGGCTGGACCTTCTTTGCTAGAGGAATCGAGTCAGGGGAATATTTGTCGGTGTTGCTTCTACCTAGAATGGGTAGCTAGTAGGAGGAGGAAGGGGCGCTGGCTAGAGCTCATCGGTTCATACCACATCGCTACTACTTCATATCTCGGATGCGAGCTCGCATTTGTTTGGAGGGAGAGGAAGATGATGGTGGTGCAACCGTCGTTGCTGCTTGACTTCTTGGATGCGGCTCGTCGTTTTCTGGAGGGAGATGAAGATGATGGTGGCAAGGTAGAAGGAACGGCAGAGTTGGTGGTGGTCTGGGGGTAGGGAACGGCGGGACTGGTGGTGGTCTGGGGGAAGAAGGAACGGCAGTAGAGGATATGGTGGGATGGGAGGTCGAGCGAGAGGGAAAAAAGTGGGAGGAGAGTTCGATAGCTGTCTCCTTCTAGGGTTGTGGTGGACAAAATGACAGCGTTTAGAAGCGCGAAGGAAAAGGGGAAAAAAGTACCCGCAGTGAATAGAACGCGGGGTCTCCATAATGAATTAGTGTACGTTTTCTGCTGGGAAACGGGGAATAAACCCTCCCTTAATTCCATAAAACAAATATTCATTATTTCAGTTTTCAGTTTTCGCAGCTTTCTCCTTCCCTTAATAAAAAATAAGAGAAGAGGATTAAAAGTAGTGGGGTTTTAGGGTAAATGAAAATTTTGTTGGGGAGAGAGGGAATTTCAAGTTTTGGGTGGGCTGAAAATTGGGGTCTAAAAATTGGGAGTGATTGAAAGGTGGAAAGTTAAAAATTGAGCGGGACTGAAATTTCCATGGGGGAAATAATGTGTCGCCTGGGCCGATTGGTTTGAGTCTAACACAAGCAAATTTGGGGAAAATTTCTTTTGTAAAAAACGAAACCATTATATTATGACGTACATGGCCTTTTGTCAGTTAGTCGTGGGATTATTGCTATCTATTGTGATAAAATACTTTTTCATTTAAAAAATTCAGGAAGGCATAATGTGACAAAAGCTACTCTGACGATATAATATGTCACTTTTGTGTCTCTTACATCCCGGTATGGGATGTTATTTTTACAAACATAATTGTAACACGAAATATTTGTCACATTACTCACTTTAAATGACGAACTATTCTGACAACAAAAAATTTGTCACTGTTGAGTCTCTTACATCTCGATATGGGACGCCTATTTTGAAAAAATTAATTGTGACGTGAAGTATTTGTCACATTACTCACTTTAAATGACGACTAATTCTGACAAATTTTTTTTTGTCACATTAGGCATACCAAATAGGAAATATATTATTTTTGTTATATCACCGTACATATTGTGACAAAAAGAAAATGACAAAATAAATATTTTGTCATAATAGGCCAAATTTATTGTAGTGAGGCGCCAATTCCAGTGGGCCTCCTAATGTCTTTGTTTCCATAGATGAACAGATGAACCTTTCCCCATGGTTGGCTAAGTTCCTTAGTTGCATAGGTATGTGAACCCTAGGGGTTCTAACCATGTAAACCCGATGATTTGGTTTAATACAATTGTTTGATTTTCATGTGTGATGTTTGATTTCCTCCATTTTTTTATTTGTTGATTTGAATGATTGTTTAGTTAACCTTGTAATACTTCGAGGTGCAAGGATAGAAATCCTAGTATTTCAGGATGGGTCAGGAAATAGAATTTCTACTCGATCGAACCCCATTCGATCAAATGGCGTGACGCCATAAGGGAGAAATCTGAAGGGTCCCTGTCGCCCATTAGTTCGGGTAAATGCTTTGGCACATGGTGGGATTGATAGACTGATAATTACACATGTTTTCACCCCTATTCTGAAGCCGTTTGAGATGTTGATTTTCGTGTTTTAAGCCGATTTAACGCTAGGTTGTGCGTTTATGTCATATTTCAGCACCCGGCGTTGGAATCGAGGCGGAGAAACGAGTTTTGGGTCGAAAGGAGCGAAGTTGGGACGAAGTGGGTTGCAAGAGGAAAATACCCGGTCAGGGGGTAAAATACCCGACCGGGTATTTATCATTATGGCAGCACGAGGAGCAGAGAGGGGCCCGGGCGTGAAGGTTAAATCCCCGGTTGTGGATTATTGGAGCAGACCGGGGATTTTTCCTTACCCAAAACGCGCGTTTTAATAATACTCGGTCGAGACCCAAAATACCCGACCGGGTATTTCGACCGGGTATCGCGACAGGCAGCAAATTTAAAGGAGAAGAAGGCCAACATTCAAAGGTTCCGAGTTTTAGAGAGACAGAGCGATTCCTAGAGAGAGAAAGCGACGAACAAGAGTTCCCAAGTGCCCTAGCTTAATCTTCATCACCATTGGAGCTTGGCTTGAGCTTGGAGAAGTGCCGATCAACGTCCAGGAGCAGAAATCCATCCTTCACAGTATGATTTCCGTGTCTGAATCTGCTTTTGCTTCTCTCTCCATGGAGTAGTTCCCCCATTCATCTGGGTATGGGAACCCTAGATTTGTATGCTAGGTCTGATTGTATGAACCCAAGTACAGGGTTTATGAATTGATTATATTCTATTGAGGCTTGAATGATTGAATGACTTGAATCCTGATCAAATTTCTGTTGTTTCTGCTTTGACCTAGAACGAGAATATCTGCCGAGGTTGATAGAGTATACTTAATTGAAGGTAGTGAATTGGCGACTTTAGTCGAGGAGCCAATTCGCTATTCTGTACCGAATTCAGTTCGGTAGTGGAGGTTTGGTTCGTTAGGGTCTCACTCTGTTTACTCCGGTGGAGGTTAGTCGCCCGCTGGAGACTCAGATTGAGAGGGTCTGGAGACCTTTAGACGAGACTTCAGACTGTTTAAGAACCTTCCGCAGTATAATTTTCATGAAAACTGAACTTGGCAAATTACAATCCGGCTTAACTGCAGTCTAGGGGGAACCATATCCGGGTGACCTCTCTTGACTTGAAAACAACCGTTTAACTTGCTTTGTTTGTTTGTTAACTTGGACTTGCACTAAAGTTTCACTGCTAGACAACAAGAATTCACCGAGTAGTCATCAAATCTAGGACCCGGGTTGACATTAAAACCCAAACCCGCTATACTACGCTTTAGGAAGTGGTTATACTTGGCCATTTTCTAGAGTGACAGTAGGAGTGAGTCAGGGATCTAACAAAATAATAAATTGGTAGCTCGTATGCTACTGATCATCAAGAGCGCGTGGTTAGAATACCTATGGGGAGCTTGCCTATGCAACGCCTTGCTTCTCTTATCTCTCGCTCATCCAACGTAGCGTACATTTACTTTTTCGCACCACTTTACTTTTTTAAACTCTTACCTTCCACAAAACTGAAGGCACCTCAACCTCCATAACCCGCTCTCTTCTTCAATAGAACCATACTTTGGTTCCAAAGTAATGGTTTTGCGAGAGGCTCAAGGGAATACGATCTTAGCCTTATAGCTAGGTAATTTTCGTAGTGATAATAGAATCGAAGATTAATTTTTGGCGTCGTTGCCGAGGACATCTCCCAAACTTCGCATATGAGGACATCTCCTCAAAAGATAATGAGGCACGTGTTCTACTCTTTTCCAAATTCTGCTTCTCCTTCCCTATCTCTTGAGAATCAAGTGCTAGTGCGTTCAAGGAAAATTGGTGCTAGAAACAAATGAATTTTCATATGATATCGCCGCTCGGAGCGCCGATTCCTGGAGAATGCCGTTTTCGATCTGTAATCACCTTTCATCCTGGCTCATAATGATCTGCTCTCTGTAATAATCCATGCCTACGGGGATTGATGTTTTAGGAGCCAACGAGCCTAAAACCACGGAAAGTTGTGTAGCATTCAAATTTGACGTGCCAAGGGCATGCCTCAATGAGTTTGAAGTGGTTGGCCTTACCTGCTGTCTATGGGATAGAGGACTCAGTCATGCACAAATTTCAATACGTGAAACCTTTCTTTAGCTTCCCAATGCGGATCCGTTCAACCATCTCCAAAAGGTTCAAGAGTTGTTTCGATCATAACAGGATTTTGATGCAACATTTGAATACAGAGTTATAAGGCTTTTTCCCTATCGAAAGAGCTAGTTTTAACAACTTCTCGTACGATTGTGCCCTTACTATCGAAAGAGCTAGTTCAAACATTTCTCGAGCAATATGCCCCACCGTGGATCAACTATCTGGTAGCCACAACACAATAGAACACGTGCTTAAGAAGAAACTTCTCAAAATAAGGTTTAAAAAAAAGGTCAAGCCCGTGACCATCCCCGTAAGGGTAGAAGTCAAGGCAACAAGCTTGAAGGAAATAAGCAACGATCTTGTGTTAATCCTCGATAGACCTCAAGCTGAGGGTCGAAAAACAAGCCCTCTTGGACAAGGATGGATCATGCTCTTGCAAAGCAAAGTAACACAAGGACTTTAATACCCTGACTTTTGGGCAGCGGTTCAACTGAAGGTCAAGGTTAATGTGTGATTTGATCTACGGTTAGATACGAGATCTCAAACCAAATCAAACCAAGCAACCAACCAACGAGTCATAACCGGGCCTAGGAGTAAATCCTTAGCTCGACCAGTTAATGCACTATCGCATCCTCATAGGGCCGTTTTAGAATTCTATTAGTGTTATAAACACGCTGCTATGGATTGGAAAATCATAGGAATCGAGAAATCAAGAATACGAAAGCGAGAATCAAAAAACACAGACACACGATTTACGTGGTTCACTAACACGATGTGTGTTAGCTAGTCCACGGGCGAGAGAGAGCCAGTTTCACTATATCTAGGAGATTACAGATTACAGAGGAGTATGAGAAGTATTTATAGTACTTCTCCATGTGGGTCTAAACCTAATCCAATCTGGCAAAGGAAACGGTTACAGACCAGGCCCAGAACCCGAACCCAAATAACATTGAGCCCGAACCCAAATAACCCTAATCAAATCAAGTCACATCAATAAATCTCCACCTTGACTTGAATCCTCTTCCTCTGAAATCTGTGATGTACTCTGCTCTGCTCCTTCTCTCTCTCTCCCGCCATCAATGACCCACAGGGCGGAGTCACCCACTCAAGACATTCAGCAAGTCCAAGCAGTGTTGGAACCGGCTTCGTGAACATATCAGCAGGATTATCCGCCGTGCCAACCTTCTTCACCTTAATCCTCTTCTCTGTCCTTAAGAAATGATACCTCACGTCAATGTGCTTAGTCCTCTCATGGTGGACTTGATCCTTGGCCAAGCATATTGCACTCAAACTGTCGCAATACACCACTGCCTGATCATGATGTAGACCCAGATCACCAACCAGTCCCTTCAACCATATTCCCTCCTTAGCAGCTTCTGTCAACGCCATATACTATGCCTCAGTAGTAGACAATGTCACCGCCGACTGCAAAGTTGCCTTCCAGCTCACAACAGAACTCCCAAGAGTGAATACATAACCGATCATCGATCTCCTCGTGTCAACATCTCCAGCATAGTCCGAGTCAGAATACCCAGACATCAAGCACTCTGTATCACTTCCGATGCTAATCCCC